CCCCTAGGGAGCGCAGAGCAGCTGGGTCCCAGGGAGAAGCTCCAGTGCTCCCATGCTCATCCACGGCCCAGTCTGCAGGGCTCAGACCTGGGGCTCCCACGGCACTGAAGGCTGCTGCCCTGAGGCTTCCCTGCTGGGGAAGCCACTGCCAGGCAGGCTGGGGCCTTGGCTCAGAGCAGCTTCCGTGGCCAGAGGTCTGCTTGCTGACTGTTGGGGAGCAGTTTACTGGTCTGATTTCACATTTGGAGACCCAGTAGAGAGGACAGGAGCCCCAGAGAGCTCCGATCTCGCCCGGCCCCAGTGTCCCCTGCTGTTGGCATCTTGTCAGAACTGGCCAACCAGTGCGGCCCCACTAGGTGTCATTCCCACTCTCCACCAGCACCCGGGGCTGCAGCCCGTGTGGTTCGGTTTCATCCAGATGAGTGCTGTCTCCGCTTGTCTTCACAACCTTGATGTTGGCAAGCAGTCTTGGTGCTGGCCTGATTGGGAGGGAGAATTAATGACGCCAGCCAGCGTTGCCCGACCACTCACAGCCACGGGGAGTTGGCATCAGCTAAAAGCCCTGTTGTCACCTAGGGAGACTGACCATGCCCACCAGCCAGCGCCATCAGTCGCCCTCCTCGGGCCTGGAGCCTGTGTCTGCCTCCTAAGCAGCGGGCCGCAGCAGGCGCCTTCCCAGTCTGCTGTCTGCCTCACCTTCAGGGTGCAGCCAGGGCTGTCGCGGCTCAGCCTCCGGGCAGCCTCAGGTAGATGCCCGGTCCAGCAGTGGACAGCCTTCCCACCTGCAGGTGTACCACATTCCCTTCACGTGCACAAGCAGGTGGACCTGACTGCTGACAGCACCCCCTAAGGGCATGATGGTGTTCTGCAGCCCTCTGCTGCCCGCCCTGTGCTGAGTGGCCCTCTCTCTGCAGCTACGTGGCCAGAGAGTACTACGAGCGCCTTCCTGAGCTGAGGCAGGCCATCGACCAGATCCGCAGCGGCTTCTTCTCCCCCAAGGATCCAGACTGCTTCAAGGACGTGGTGGACATGTTGATGTACCATGACAGGTGGGCTGGGAGCACCAGTGTCGCCTCCTCCTCTGCCTTTGGGGATGGCCACAGAGCCAGGTCTTGGCAGTGGTCCCCAGTGCCACCTGTGGGAACTCCTGGGACGAGGCTGGGGAAGGTATCTGGGAGCCTGGCAAGGGGAGGGACCTCTGGGCAGGCTGTAGATCCCAGGGGCAGTTGTGACTGCAAGGGGCCAGCAGCAAATATGCAAGGAACTGAACTGGATGGCCAGGAAGCCTGGGGGATGGCAATGGCTCGACACATTCAGTGTGCTACCACAGCACAAGCAGGACCCCACGGAAATGCCTCCGTGCTCCCTGCCTCTCCTGCCCGGTGTGGACACTGTCTGGCCCCCGCTGCAGAGCCCCGTGCCAGGGTACTGGCACCCCTCCTCCAGAGCGCAGCCCCTTCAGTCACTGGCTTCCGTCAGGCCAAGTCAATGAGCACAGGCAGTTTACCTGCTGACAAGGGAAGGACGATCTTTAAAAAAAGACTTGGAAAGGAAATTCACAGAAGCTGAGACACAGAGAAAGTCCCTCTATATGGTTCACTCCGCAAATGGCCAAAACTGCCGGAGCTGAGCCAGTCTGAAGCCAGGAGCCTCTGAGAGGTCTCCCTTGTGTGTGTAGGGCTCCAAGGACTTGTGCCATCCTGTGCTGCCTTCCCAGGCCATAAGCAGGGATCTGGATCAGAAGTAAAGCAGCCAGGACAGGAACCGGCGTCCAATCGGGATGGCATTGCTTGCGAGTGAAGGACTAGCCTGTTGAGACACAGCAACAGTGCCAAGGGGATTCTGTAAACATGGATGTTACAGTGTTTCTGTTTGGGAGTACCAGGGACAGTAGGTGATGCTGTCCTCCTCCGAACAAGTGGCATTGGCCAACCTGTGAACGCTGCTGGCCCTGGCAGGTTAGGTGGGGGCCCCATGCATGCAGTTTCTTTAAAAGCATGTTGGGTGAGAGCCAGCTGTTACCCAATATAGGGACCCCACAGTGCGGGTGCTGTTCGCAGAAACCCCATGGCCACCTGCCGTCCTTGCCCAGCCTCCTGTGCCCTTTCTTAGGTTCAAAGTGTTTGCAGACTACGAAGCATACCTGCAGTGCCAGGCCCAGGTGGACCAGCTGTACCAGGTAGGCTCGCAGTGCCCATCTCCCATGGCAGGGGGCGGGTCTGACTTCTCCCTGGCTGGTCCTGTCTGCCCACGGGAAGCTGTCTTGTCAAGATCAGTCCTACTGGCTGAGGACAGGAACTGGTCAACCCCAAGGGATTTCTGATCTCAACCCTTCTGGGAGATGCTGATGCTGCCAGCTGCTACAGGGTAGCCTAAGCCCCGGGCAGGAAGCACCTGTGGCTGATGGCCAGCTGGTAGTGCCCCTGTTGGGTGTCTGTGCGCTGGGTGGACACTGGGCCCTTGAGGGGCTCTCACTTCCAGGCTTTCTCCTCTTCCACCTGGAGCCCGAAGCCCCATGCACTCAGCCACACCTTTCTCCCCACAGAACCCCAAGGAGTGGACCAGGAAGGTCATCAGGAACATTGCGTGCTCGGGCAAGTTCTCCAGTGACCGGACCATCACCGAGTACGCGCGGGAGATCTGGGGTGTGGAGCCGTCTGACCTGCAGATCCCACCACCCGACATCCCCCGGGACTAGTGCCCCACGCGGCTGGACCAGCTCCTCTGGTGGGGTTCCCGGCCCTTGGCCAGCAGCTGCCGGTCCCTTCTACACAGTACCGTGTTTCTGGGAGGGGCCACGGGCTTGGGAGGATGATTTTGAAGAGCAAGGCGAGGAGAGGAGCCGGGGGCATTTGCCCTGTATCCTGCCAAGCAGAGTTCACAGCACAGACAGGCGCACATGTGGCCCCCACGGCTTCAGACCCTGGCCCCGTGGAAGGTCCTGGCAGGGCAGGTGCCTCCTGGGCACCGCTCCTTCCCCTCAACCTCGCACACCTTCTGCTAGAAGCCTGGGTCTGGGCAGGTGGCTGCGCCGACACCTGAGCTGCCAGCCACACAGGCCAGGCCGCCTAGCCTTTGTAGCCATCCATCCATCCTTAGCAGGCACCTAGAACATAGGCTGGCCGGGAGGTGCGGTGCTGGGCAGGGTTCCAGTACCCAGCATCTTAGTGGCCATGTTTAGGTCAAGGCTGAGTGCTGCAGGATGAACCTGGGTAGCTGCTTGCAAAACGAAATGGAAGTAGTTCCAAGCCGCAGACACTGCCTGACTGGTTTCTGGCCTGGCAGGAGGGGGCAGACCACTGCTGCCCCCAACGCTCCCCTCCACCGCCTGTTCCGGTGTTCTTCCTGTCAGCGTCCCTTCTGTGGGCCCCAGTGACCAGTGGGGACAAGTTCTCTAGGATGGTGGGCCTGTCGCCATGTCCTGAGGCTGACACTGCCCCTGTGTTGTCCAAGGGACAGGGCCAGGAGCAGGCTAGGCGGGCTCACAAAACCTGGGTGAGGCATCTGGCAGAGGCTCCCGCCACCTCGCACGCTGGTCTGGGGGCCCCAGGGCCTTCCAGCTGTGCCAGCCACCAGGGCCACTGGGTTCTTGCAGAGGGCACATGCTGGGCACATGCTCGCATCCCTGCATCCGCTGCCATGTAATGGCTCCATGTGTGGGGTCACACTCCTGATGCTGACTGTGGCTGCCCCCCTTCTCTGCCCTCACTGCTCTTCCCCTGTGAGAAACACAATAAACGTTCTCCCCATGGTTTGCTGATGGGCCTCTGTGTCTCTGCACATGGTGCTGTGGGGCTGATGGGAAGTTCAGGGTTCAGGCTGATGCCCAAGACCCGGCTATTCCCATACGAGGACAGGCTCTGGGCATGGGCCCAACTGCCTGCCTCTGTGACTGGGGCCTAGGCTGAGAATACAAAGTTCTGAGGGGACAGAGCTGGGTTTGCCCACTGCCAGCTGTCCAGAGCGGGTGAAACCACGGGTGCATTTCTGTTGTGCCTCTTACTGGTCTCTGCACCTGTGGCTTCTGGCTCCAGGGAGCAGAGCTGGTGAATTGTACATGGAGCTACATCTTGAGGTGATGCCCTTGACAGGCTCTTCTCACAGCTGCACAGCCACCATGCACTATAGTTGGGGGAGCCCTGAGTGGGGGAAAACTCCCCAGGGTCTCTGGACCTCCACTCTCTGGCTCCCAGGACTCAGGTGCAGCTTCAGAGGGGAGCAGGCCCACACCCCCAGAGCCTCGTGGGTTTGGGTTCTGGTCCTGGCCACAGCTGGATCTTGCAGCCTCCAGGGCAAGTTGCTGGTGCCTGGGCTGGAGTGGATAAGAGAAGCAGCCATCAGGGCAGGCAGAGGCGACTGGCCCAAGCTGCTTCCAACTCGGGGAAGGGCGCTGAAGCTCGGCAGAGGGAGAGCTTCCATCCATTCCTGGTGCAGTTCCGTGTGGGTGGCAGGGACCCAGCAGCCGCTGCCTCCAGCATGCACATCAGCAGGAAGCCGAGCTGGGGCCTGGTGGCGTCACTGCTGCCCTAGATGTGCCCCTCAAAGCTTGTCCCACTGCCCCAGCAGAGCTTTGGGGTAGGCAGTTCGTAGCAGTGAGGGTCCTTGTGGGGGTTTGTCTGGCAGCTGGGCACAAGTGCAGTTCTGTGACCCGCAGGCCTCTGGCAGGACCCTAGTTCCACTGAGGAGACGCTGGGCTGATGTCATCTTCCAGCAGCGCCCTGGCAGATGGCACAGTGCGTTAGACTTCAAGCTGGCCAGCGGGGCGGGGTGGGGGCGGAGGGGGTACCCTGCTGGCTGTTGGGCCCTGCCAGTTCATGGCTGCACTGGCACCCAGTGCGAGGTGAAAAAGGCTTGAAAGCTGGGGGGCTGCCTTGCACACAAATGGCAGGACTGGAATCACCAGCCAGGGGCTCCCTGGGGCTGGTCCCACAGGTCCAGGCTGGGGTCCACGCCTGAGGACGAGGAGGGACTCCCAGGGCTGCAAGCATCACTCAAGGACATGCAGACCACCACCACAGTTTTATTCTTGTATAAATGCTCAGTCTAGGGCCAGGTTAGGAGGACAGTGGGAGGAATGAAGAAGTATGGGTCCTGGTCCCTGGCTGTGGGTGAGCAGCGGGCTGTCCAGGGAAGTGGGGACCCCACCCCCAAGGCAGGCAAGCAGGAAGGCAGGACAGGGTGCGCCTCTGGAACCTTCAGTCCACTGCGTGGGTGCCGGAAAAGGCAAGAAGAACCTTCCACATACTGCGCAGGGGTCCCAGGCCACTATCCTGGCCCTGCCGGGGCACCAGGGCAGGCTCGGGCACTGTGGGCTCCGCCAAGGGACACTGCCTGCTGTGTCTCCGAAAGTCTTCCCAGTGAGAGCAGGCTGAGTGGTGGCAGCAGGAGGGGGCCGGGGCTGCATGCCGACCACCCAGAGCCCCTCACGTTCTGTGCTTCCGGCCACCTCCACGAGCCGTGGGCTGGCCTCCAGGCCTCTCTTGTGGTGGGAACAGGCTCCTGAGTGCCGCCAGGCTCCGGGCTGCTGACCGCAGGACAAGGGGCAGGGCGGAGGTCCTCATGCTTTCTCCGCACAGCCAGCCTCAGTGCTGGCGCTCGGGTTCCCACTTCCCCAGGAACTCCCTGGGCCAGAAGGAGGACACAGGTGAAGCGCACCGTGCAGTGCAGACCCTCAGGGGAGAGATGCGGTCAGGCCCACCACTCCACACCCCACACTCATGGGGCTGAACGCTGGGCCAGCTCTGCCGGTAGATGTTCCTTTTAGATAGAATGGAGGTAGAGCAAACGTGTGCTCTTGCCGCCACATCCCTGTGGCTGGGGCCACGTCCCCCCACACGCTATGGGGAGCTGCACTTTGGCTATCACGTGGCCGGCTGCTCTAGTGCAGCAGCCCCCAGTGCTCCCTTGCGCTGCACAGCGGGTAGCTCATGGTGTCCAAGGCCGGCTGGCCAGTGGGTGGCAGGGCTGGGGTACCCAAGCCCTTGCTGAAATTTCACACTAACACTTGGGTCCTGCCCAAGCCTCTGGCCGGAAGCAGCTGAGCATGGACAGACTTGGGTGGGGTGGGGTGAGGCGGGGCGGGACAAGGCCAGGTTCTCCCGTGTGCAGGGTAGGTGACCCAAGAACCTGGGATGGACAGTGAGGCCAATCCAGCGGCAGTGGCATATACCCACGCGGGTAGAGCCTACACAGCAGATGACCTGCGCCTGTCCGATCATGGAACAGCCTAGAACAGGGAGGAAGTTTCTTCCAAGCCCCTCTGTAGTGGACTGCTCCTGCGCCCCCCGACTCCCCCAGGCAGCTCCAGCGCTCACCTCAGGATGCGCGGGAGCTCGGGGCTCTTGTAGATGTACTTGTGCCGGTAACCAAGGTCTGAGTGGAAGGGAATAAACTGAACTCTGAAGTCGCGGAAGCTTCGGGATGGAGCAGCGATGTTGTAGAGCTGCAGGGGCAGATGGGGGTGACACGCAAGTGCAGCTGAGCTCTTGTCACGCTGCTCCTGCCGCCACGGGCCTGGGCTCTGCAGGCTTGTTCCCAGGAACTGGGCCCCAGCTTTGGTCCCCAGGCTGGTCTCTGCCCTCAGGCTACCTCGAGGAGCGGCACCGGTCAGCTGAGGTCCAGCACGGACAGGAGCGTGTGGCGCACTCAGTGGGCTGAGGCCTCCTGCTCTGGGGCAGCAGGGGTGTGTGGGTTGCAGGGGCACGACCCTGTCCTGCATGCCTTATGCAGCTCAGCTGTGGGCAAGCCCTAGGTGGGACCTGCTGGTGAGCCTGGTACTCCCATCCAACAGGCTCACCTTGCTAAGGACCCAGGCGGGACCTGGTGAGGCCTGGTACCCCTCCAACAGGCTCACCTCACACTGACCACACAGCCAGTCCTGCTTTCCAGAAAACAGCAAAAGCTGGCATGGAGGCCCCACAGACAACATGACATTGTCTGCTCTCAGGCGAAATATCCAGAAGTTCTGAGTTGATTCACATAGCCCTGCCTGCCACCCCCACCTCATGGCTCCCTGCAGACAGTGTCGGCGGTCCCCCTCAGCCCTGTCCACCATGATACCCACCTTTCTGCCCAGCTGGAAGGGCACGACTGGGTCATCCTCAGCGTGCAGGATGAGCAGAGGGCAGGAGATGTGCTTCACGCTGCAGAAGGAGGGCACAACTGAGCCAGGTGGCCCCGTGGGCATCTGCGTGCAGACTGCGCCTCGCGCACTGGCTGTGTGACAGCCCAGATTCTGAGCTGTTCTCAGTCCCAGAAAACCACAGGCTAGCCACTTTCAGTATCTGTGCCAGCCAACCTGGGGCCTGCACTGCGAGCACCACACAGACAGAGGAGCCACCAGTGCCACAGGGCTGGCAACCATGGGGTTTCAGGCCATCATGGTGCCAACTCCAGGCTCTGGCTTCCTGCCAGTGCAGACCCCAGGAGGCAACAGTGAAGGGCACAAGAGCCGTGGCCCCAGGTGTCGTGGACATGTGGAGCGTATCAGCAGGGATACGCTGCTTCAGGTTAACTCTGAATCACTGGAGGTTAACTCTGTCACCCTGCTTCAGGTTAACTCTGAATCACTGCAGTGGGCCAAAGGCGTCCCTGCTGCTGAGAACCTGAACTGCCAGGGACAAGGCGCAGAGCCCTCGACACTCTCACCAACAGTTTCCCATTGCTCACACAATCGGACAAGCTGCAGGCCAGGGGGGTGGCTGTCACGGCCACTTCGGGCTCACCCCTAGATGGGTCCATGCATGTCCGTCGGAAGCTTGTGGTCCATGGATGCCCAGTTCCTGGGCAGGTCCCAAGGCAAGTCACGCCTGGCATGTACTCCTGCCTCACAGGGCAGAACTAATGTGCGAGGCCCTCTAACCAGAGGCTTCTGAGGACAGCACCCAGGGTCTGGTACAGAATGTGCCGGCCTGCCCTGCAGCTGACCCTGACAGGGACGTGGGGGTTGATGCCATCCACATGTGACCTGGCTTAGCTGGAAGGGTCGAGACCAAGGTTGGCCTCCAGAGGCACAGTACTCACTTTGTGTTTTATTCTTTTAAAGACTGATGTGACTGACAAAACCATAGCGTTTTAACGTGTTGCTAATTCTCCTCAGATTCCTTCCTTCTTGCTGCTGCTGTCTGCCATGGACATGCACAGGCGCCCAGGACTCCACCATGCAGCCATGTGAGGGCTGGCCTGGGGGCTCGCGGCATTCCAAGCTGCCAGTGCTCACACCAAGTACTCACTTTTCATCATTTGCAAACTTAATCCCGCTGCTTGTAATGGGATCCAGGAAGAACCAGTCAAAGGCAGGGAAGTAGCGATAGATCTGAGGGGGAGATGAAGGCCAGATTAGGGTCAGGGTTAGGGTCAGGATCAGGGTCAGCTCAGGAATCAGGTAGAACCACAGGTGGGTCTACAGCTAAGGATTCATGTATGTCTCCAACAGCACAGCCATGCTGAGGCACCTGCTACCCTGCTTTGCTGGGCCTGGGAGGCCCTCCAAACTCATCTGGGGGGGCTGCCCCCAGACATTGCTCCCGCATCTCCCAAGCACAGCCAGAGTCCAGCTCAGAAGCCCAACCCTCCCCCACTTGCTGAACCATGCCCAGAGGTGTGTGGGTGAGGTTGGAGCAGCCAGTTCTCCCTTACAATTGTAGAGAAAAGCAAAACTGAGAAAATGAGACACAAATAAAGGCTTCTCAAAGGCATCACAAAGCAACAAGAGATCAGGACAGACGGATGGACGGAGAGATGGGCGAACAGAGGGCCCCACGCCACACGGGTAAGGCCGCCCGTGAGCCCAGCCCCTCGCAGACAGCCTACCCTGTCACCCAGCCACTGAGTGGCGCCTTTTCCAGGCAGCCCTAGCCCTGTGAGGCAGGCTGGGCCTGAACTATGAGTTTTGTTTTTAATAAAAATTCAGGTAGTTACTATTTGCATTTTGCAACTGCTTCCTGAGAGCCAGTTCACATTACTTAGAAACATTATTAATGAAAAAACAGTGTTCATGGATCACACATACACAGAAAGACAAAGTCACTTTGCAGGAAGCCTGTACTCACCACTGAAAACGGGTGGCTCTTTGCTTCTTCACGGATATTGGTGAATGGAGACTCCAAGATAAGGGCATCTGGAGGCGTTTCTGGAGAGACAGAGGAAGGCACAGAGCTGAGATGCAGGAGCCGAGGCCTCCCAGCCTTTGAGACACTGGGGCACACGGAGCTGTGTGGCAAGGCTGGCAGACGTCCCTCCAGCTGGCTCCATACCACCTCAGGGACACTCAGTTACCCCAAGCATGGCTGATGCACTGCTGTTTGCCCTTGTGAGATGTTCTCTGTAACCGATGTGAGCTTAGGAACGGATGTCATTAATAACGTGATGGTGAGTGGCCGTCTAACGACTCATGCTGTCTCGGCCGCTCCCATGACCCTTTGGCTGGAGGAACTCAAGGATGTTTGTACTAACATTGTAAAACATGCTTTCAAACTAATTAAGGGTTGTTAAGCCCGTGGTTGTAGTGGGAATTTATGTTTAAAGTTTTTTGTTTCTGATCTTGATGTTTTTCCCTCTGTGATATATTTTCTGCTTTAACTGACAAGTTGTAGAATGAGATGCAGTAGGAGTGTATCAGTGATTAATGTGCGCTGCCAGCTGAGGAGTTCCGCAGGGTCAGCCTGGATGATGCCCTGCTTTAAGGTGGAACAATCTGCAGACTTCTCTTTGGAAACACCCACTTGCCATGACGTAAAAGTCTGTGCGAAAGCTTGTGAGTTCTTCTGTATAAATAAAGCAGACAGCCTTCTTGCACTGGCCAATATGACCATAGAATTATAGTGGGCCACCTTTTCTCTTTATCTCTTTTAAAAACACCGACTCCACACATCTTTCATGAGCTCTGAACTCAGCTGGAGCTGGTCTCCAGCAGTCAGCTGGTCGAGAAGCCAGCAGCCCAGGGCAAGTGCAGGGTGTGTGGGAGCAGCCCAGGAACGCACGCCTGCAGGCCTCTGCCCACCAGCAGCCAGGGGAAGGGGGCAGCTTCCCCGGGTGCTATGAGAACCCCATGGGGAGGGTCCCCATGCCACAGCCTACAGGAGACTGCAATGATAGCAGGAGGCAGAGGTGGGAGGACGGGTGAACACGAACGGGTACAAGGTTCTGATCGGCCCCTCACCTCGCTCACACAGGCGCCGCACCAGATTTGTTGCCACTCTGGAAAGAAAGAAAACATACAGTTCGGATGAATTAGGTTTAAAACCAAAAAAAGGAGTGGGGGGCGGGGAGGGAAGAGGGAGCGGGAGTTGAGGAGAGCACGCCTGTTCAGCAGTGTGCTCAGAAACGCCGTGGGATCCGAGAGGCACCAGTCCCCGGGCTGGGCCATCCCAGAGGCACCGTGCCCCCTGCACATGGCATCCCTCAGGATGGTGCCCAGGGAGCAGCAGTGTTTACCTAGGGCCTCTGTGCCAGAGGAAAAGGTGTCGGGCAGAGGGCGGCTGCGAATGGGTGAGGGGTGTACAGCCTCAAGAGACCCTATCAACTCAGCCTGCCCGTGCATGGGCACTCAGGGATTGCCCGCTGATCCTCAGCCACACCCCCAGGGGACTGAGCCTGGGTTAGATGGCCAAGGTGGCTGCACACGTGGACTCCAGGGGGGCTACACGCTCAAGCACACACACACACACACACACACACACACACACACACACACACACACACACACACATGCACACACAGAGACAGCAAGGTCCGCATAACGTGGGGCGCACAGCCATTGCAGTGCTCCCCACTGTGGCCTGAGGACTCTTTGCCGGGGTGTGGGGCCATCTGCCTCTGTCTGTGGCGCATATTCATCTTGAGTCACCTCTGGGGTCTCTGTACACCCCTTCCAAGGGAGCAGGCTGTGGCTCCAAGCGTTGCAGGTGTATGCAGAGCACCTGGTGGGCACAGGGTCGCCTTCTGCCCTGCTGCCGACCCTTACCCAGTGCCCAAGGAATGGCCCCAGATGTACACAGGGTTGTCCCCACTCCTGGCTTTGATCCAGTCAAACACGTGCAGTGCATCGTAAGTCATGCCTCGCTCAGACGGCGTCCCGACCGAGTCACCCCAGCCTGGGAGAGACAGGAGGGAGAGAAGGTCAGATGCAAGTGTGTGTGTGAGAGAGAGAGAGAGAAAAGGACAGCTGAGAGGACTGCCCCAAGCATGTGTGCCCATCATGTCCCTGGCAAGGAGAGTGGCCAGCCGTGCCCTCCTCTGGGCGCTCTCTGTGGGTGGGCTGTAACTGCCCAGTGAGAAACAGCAGGGCTGGGGCAGCACAGTCCGTCACGGAACGCTGACGCCTGCCTGCCTGTCAGAGCTTGCCCACCACCAGCACCCTGGCTCCTGCCTGCCTGCGTGGGCCAGGACTAGGGCATCCAGCTCAACACAGACAGCCTGGCAGGATGGCCAAGATGTACAAACTGGGCTGGTGGGGCCAAGGCTGCAGCCCCTCCCCCACCCCCCCCTCCCCAGGATCAGCAAGAGCAGTGGGGTTGTGGGACACTCTGGGGAAGCAGGAAGGAGGCATGAGGCTCCAAGGGGCTCTGATTCTCTCCAGCAGGCCCTCCAGGCACTCCCAGTCAAGGTCGAGTGCAACTGCCTTTCTGGCGGCTCAGCAGCCACGAGTGAGTCATCGGGAATTGACCCCAAAGCCGCACAAATCCCACAAGCTGGTTATGCTGCATAAGCAAAGCCCACAGGGGGTGCAGGAAGGCCAGAACAGGCAGGGAGGAAGGGAAGGAGGCAGCAACATGCAGGAACAGAGCCAGGAAAGGTGCGGATGGAGCACACGTGTGCGGACAAACATGGGCACAGGAGCTGGCAAGGGGGCCCCACACCCGCCTGCAGACAGACTCCAGGGGAGCTCAGCACACTTGATGCTCCCAGAGCCTCCTGTGGAAACACCTGCCACCTCCACTTCAGCTCAGGTGGCAACAGATTTTGGCTTTCTGACCAAGAGAACACACTAAGGTCGTCTGCAGAGGCTAGGTCTGTGGCCAGGGGACATAGCAGTGAGAGGACACCAGGACAGCCCTGCATGGCACCGCCACCTGCCCTCATCTCTGTCCTCACATCCAGGGGAGCGCACAGCAGTGTCCTCCTGCACAAGGTCAGGGTGGACGGCCAAGCAGCCTTCATGCCTCTGGCCTGAGTGAAGGCTACAGCAAGTAACAGCCTTTTCAACGGACGCTCACTGTTCGCACCGCGGCTGAATGCTGCCAGTGCACGTCACACTCTGCTTTCTCCATCTGTTCAGCGGCTGGCCTGCTTCATTCCAGAAAGAAAGAAGGCAGGCTGGGGGACAGACTGGAGAGGGACTTGAGGTTCCAGTGGCACCCTTGCCGGAGTGGCTCCCAGGTACCCACAGCTGGGGCTCTGTCAGGAAGTCCTGCACCCAGGACCCACTCAGAGGAGACGCACTGCCCTGCCCCTCCCCTGGGCACAGGAGGTTGGCCTGGCGAGAAGGAAGCTGCGGGGTGTGCTCTGAGCCGGTCAGAGGTGCGGGCAGGGGTGGATGTGTGCTCACACACTTGGGGGAGATCTCACCTCGGTAGTCAAAGGTGACCACATGATACCCCAGGGAACTCAGGACCTGCAACATCAAGGAGAAACAGCTTTGGTGGCAAGTCCAAGCAGCTAAGTTGCAAGGGGTCTTGCCTGGGCCCACTCAGCCCAGCACTGCACAGCAAGAGCCTGCCTCCCGGCACAGGCTGCCCCCTGGGCTGGCTGGAGGCTGAGGGCTTGGGGACAGGCTCCTGCGGTCCCCAGGCAGCAGCTCTGCTCAGGTCTCTTCTGTGGTGGGTGGCTCCCAAGTGCTACCAGCAGGCTTTGCCCACTCTGCATGAAGGTGGGCCCCAAGCAGGAAGAGCACCCCTCTGGGGACACGTCTTGCAACCCAACATTTTTCATATTTTTAATGATTTGTTGAAATTTTTCAGTTACTAAAAATAAAATGAAAATCTGAGGGCCACAACCTCGGTATAGTGGCCTAAGCCTTGGCCCGCAGTGCCAGCATCCCATACAAGCACTGGTTTGTGTCCCAGCTGCTTCACTCCCAGTCCAGCTCTCAGTGTATGACCTGGAAAAGCAGCAGAGGACATTCCTGCACTCATGCGGGAGACCTGGAGGAAGCCGCTGGCTTCACAGTCTAGCCGTTGCCTCCTTCTGGGGAAGTGACCCAGTAGATGGAACATATCCTTTTCTTTTGAATAAAAAAATAAATAAATCTTTAAAATAAATTCCTCCAGCAGTCCCAGAGCCAGCTGAAACCACCCACCCACTCACACCCACACAGTGCACCCACTGCAGCCCCTTGGAGGGACAGCAGCAGGTGGGCGAGTGGGGGTCCTGGGACACCACTCTGAGGGTTCATCGGGACCTCAAACCCCCAAGCCGTGTGTAGGCCTGCACATGCCGCTGGCGTGTGTACCCCTCTCCCCGAGGGGCCAGGCAATTCTGAACATCTGTGTAATCCACACACACAGGCTGAAGAGGCCAACAGCAGTTTGTTCTCAGGAGCCGGAGTGACCGGCTGTGGTGGCCACTCCTCGCGTGCAGAACTCACCTTGTACAGCTCTACCCGGTGGTCGCCGCCCCTGGAAGACAGGAAAGAAACAGGAAGTGGACGAGGAGCCTCCTGAATCCCCAAACCTCACCCTGGGAGGGGTTGGCTGGCCTCACCCTGCATGTGGCATGTGGCAGTCCTTCCCATCCAAGGGAAAGATCTGTAACGACGAAT